ATATATATATATATATATACATACAAAAAATGATACCTAAAGAATACATATATGTATGTATATAAAGACATGTATAAAGTTATTAAGAATAAGATACATGTATACACATACCTCATCTACAAGTAGCAACGTCATTGGCCTTTTCGCATTGCTATTAAATTTTTTTTCTAACATATTATATGCTTGTTCCCATGTTACAACTTTTCCAGATAATTGCTTTAAAATTTGTACATAGGCTTGCCGAGGCTCGGATAATTTCATACCATTAATCTCAACAAAATCGAAACGATTTAATTTACCTTTTTCGACTGATCTCTTTAAACATTTCACAATCTCATTTACAGTAGCAGTCTTTCCTGTACCTGGGACACCATTTATATAAATACTTCTGCAATATAAATTTTAGTACACTAAAAAGAAGTAAATGTCAATATTAAGAAATGTTTAGACAAACTTACCCTCCACTATTATCCATTAGTTTACTTTCTAGAAATGTATAAATATTATTAAACTCTTCTTCTCTACAAGGTAATGACTTAGGCACTGCACTGACATGCAACTTAGTTCTGATTTCTTGCAATGGTGTAACTGGTTTAATTAGGATATCAGCTCTCATTTTCATAGATGGTTTCAAAGTACTCTGCTTCAATATAGAAATTTTTGGAGTACTTAAATCATTTTGTACCACTAAGGAATCAATAGCTTCGTTTCTTTGATTAGTTTTTATAGATAAATTTTTACCAACTTTGTGTATAACTTCTACCTTATCAGTCTTATTCTCATCTTTGTATATTGATTCATATTGATTAGATATATTTAAAATAGATTTACGAGTACTTTTCTGAATTCTTGATGTTTTAGGCGTATCTTCAAATGAAATATTTTGTCTCGCATCTGTTTCAAGATATATTTTGTCATTAGGTGATACTTTATCTACAACTTTTTTTAATTCTTCATCTACAGAGAGAAATGTATATTTTGATTTAGTTCTATGAACTTTAGGAGCAGTATTATCATTGATATTTTCTATAGAACAAATATGATTTTGTTTATTAAGTTTTGATCTTGATTTTGTAGATGATGTTTTTGGAAAATAAATACAATTGCAATCTGAATCATCACTTTTTACTACATGCTTATTAATTTCTTTTTTTCTTATATTAATAGTATCAAATGAATCTAACAATAGTTTCTTTTCATTATAATTAATCTGATCTCTCTGTAAAACAGATACTTGTGATTTAGAAGAACATTTATAATCTGAATATCTTTTAGGTAATTTTATAATTCTTGCATTCTTATGTGACATTCGATTTTCATCATGCAAACTTTTCAAATGACGTTTTGTATTTCTAGTTAATCTCTTAGGTTTTTCATCTTCTGATTCAGTATCTATCTTATACATACTTTGTTCTGTAGAGCGTCTTAACTTCAGACGTAAAGAAGCTTGCTCTTTTTGTAATGCATTAGTTTGTAATAAAAGTTTATTATTCTCAAAGATACTGTCAGAATCGGAAAGGTCAAAAGAATCATTATCTGTATTTTTTTTTGGAACATAGGATTTGTCTGATTCTTCAACAATTGAGTCAGAACTTGTTTCAAGTAATACAGATATATCTTTTTTTGTGCATTTCTTAAATCTAGCCATTGCAATTAAATTGCAATTAATCAATTCAGTAATAATTTTTAAGCATCCGATCCTTCTTTCAAAACTGTACTTCACTTAACCTAATTAATAAATCTTATTTATTATCTCTATTTGTTTCAAAATAATATTAATTGAAAAAGAATAATCAATCTTCTTTAAAATTTCCAGTATTTGTTTTCTTTAATTACATCACCTTAGAAACCGATGAAATTTAGTTCATTCGACATGTTATTACACAAAACGAATAAATGAAACGAATTTGGGGCCCTGTTCTTGAAAAGTATCGCGTACGAAAAACTAGGGAAATGTTATAGTATATGTAACGCAAATTATAGTATTTCCCTAGTTTTTTCGTATGAGCACCAACGAGATATTATTAAAGACTGTCAACCCTGGGCAAATTTTCGGCAGTATAAAAAGGACCCCAAGGGCCCGAAATAATTGAAGAACGCTGACATTATCGACAATTGATACAAATTTGTTATTATTAACATAAATATTTGGCTCATACATTATTAAATTCATGATTTTTTATTACATAAATGTTCCATAAATAAATATGTATATTTGTAAAGTTATAATATTCTATATATTGCAGAAAAATTACAATTTTTTCTCTGCAGTTATTATCTCTGTTGATAATCAAACTTTGATGATAGCACTGAAATCACAATTTTAAAGAAAAATCGAGTATTATTGAGTTCTAAATGCATAAATATGTCTACTAAACTAATAAATCATAAAATTAGTACAATATTTTCAGTTTTTAACTCTTAATTACTTCAATATTCACAAGGACGCTTTACTCCCGTAAGGATATCGATCTTTAATAGTGTCTCGTCGGTGGTATGAGATACTGTTCAAGAATAGGAGCTCAGTACTCTGCGGGTGCGATTACATGGAGCGCAGTACGCGGTACAGTAATTAATAGTAACTAACTAGGCAATTAGGAAACCTAAGCTAGGAATAGGCGTACTACGTACCGTCTATTGTCTCCGGCGTATCAGCGCGAGGTTTGTCGCGCGCGACATGCGATATCCAATGAGTGTGCAGCTTTACCAATATTTTCATTCTAAAGGTATACTGTCATTGGATATCGCGTGTCGCGCACGACTAACACGTTGATGTGCCATTAGATTGCACTAGAAATCTCTTTCTCACTTTCGACAAATATCAAACTATAGTGTGAGCCCTGTCTTATACGCCTTGGATCAATTTAGATTGCTATTCTATTTAAAGGAAATTCGCGTGGCTGCGGTGCTTTCGCGAATTCGAACGAGTCCCATTGGACCTCTCTGGTGGCGAGTCGCCACAAAACAGATATCTATTTCACTTTAAGTTCCAAAAGTATACATTGGTTCAGTCACAGAAAACAGACCTTCAGGTCAGTATGTTCTGTAATGAATTCTCTGACTCGATTATCATAAGGTCTATTCGCGTTGCATGAAATTCCCAAATATTTTTGCACTTAAAATGAGATAAATACCTATTTTGCCCTAAAAAGACAAAAAGCGAAGATGTTGAGTGCCAAAAGTGCAAGCAATGCGAACAGACCTATACTTTAATGAAACCAGCTCCGGTCTTTCCTCGAATGAAGTTCGAAACACGAACATGGATGATAGGTTTCGACTTGATTTAATTCGATTCATTCCATAAGGGGTGGTATAGGCCAATTAATCGTAATTAGTCTGTGAATTTATATTCCGATTAATTTATATTCCGACATTTATTTTACATTTATGTGGAATAGTGATGTCGACGGATATTATTGAATTGAAAAAAGACACAGAAGGCAAAAATAAAGATAAAATCTATTGTACATTTTGTCCTTCAAAAATGCTCAATGCTGGAACTGCTAGATTAATAAACATGGATGTGAGTATATTTGTACTGTATGTATTCTGATAGCAAAATGTTAGCAATTTGGAGTCAAAGTGGCACCAAACTTGATCAGATTTTGACTACAAAATCATAACCATCTGTGTCCGCATTTGGCTATAGATTTGTCGACAAAGCCTACTGACAAGCTATATGGAGTATCAGAAACCGAACAGAGTCTGCTCGAATCAGGTTCTACTCTCAATCTGCTCTCATCTGATGTTAGGTTATGCAGGACTTGTCAATTATTCGATTTCTGCTACCAATGTGCTGGCACATGTTTAGCAGGCTTTGTTGTATTACTGACAGCAATTTACTGACAAGGTCAGATAATACAAATTTTATGTACAGTTTGTTGCCTTTTTGCAATCAAAAATTGGTAGCAGGCTTTGCTCAAAATTTGTCTCCGCCGTCTTTGCTATTAGGATAGTAGTATGACAATATTGAAAAAAAATCTTGTATTATGACTCTGTTATTTATTGCATGTTTTAGTAATTTAATTATTATAGATGCTGCTATATTATTAATATATATTTGTGTAGTGCACTATGATACTTTTATCATAGGCTGCTTTTCTTTTAGAGGACGCACTTGACACAAACATCATTTTATCCTATTTGACATTTAATGAATGACGAAAATAGAACGATACTGTATCTCCTAAAAGGAAAATAGCCTTAGACATGGAACGTTTATAACCTTATAAAAGTTGTATTGTATTTTGTATGCATTTAATATATTAATGTAGTGTTACCATTTCTCAGTCGCTCGAAAAAAAATACATTGATTAATAAAAAGAATACATTTAAAAAAAAAATAAAAAGAAAAGTTGAAGACAAAAGCTTTGTTTTAAATGTTGATATTCAATAAAATGACATTTCTAGACTATAATTTTTATTAACAACCTTTATTCAGTCTTCATAAAGTTACATACAAATATATTTATTCACATTTTACTTAGTGACCAGATTTGTTAATGTTAACATTAATACAATTAAAAAAATAAAATCTATTCATGTTTTTACAACTTACAAGTTTTTTCAACAAAATATTATTACTAGGTTATAATTTATTTTTTGATACATATATATAATCAAAGATAAAATCTCTATAAACAAATCTCTCTATATGATAAACATATATACAGGACGTTCCACGTGAAAGGAGTCCACCCAAAAATACTGTTTGGGATCTTCAAAATAATCATGAAAACATGTAAATGAACACGTATAACATTAAAGATAAAGAAAATAAGATTATATGCCTTTCACTCAATATATTGGAGATAGTCGTTTAGAGGAGTTCTCTTTTTATTGTCATTTGTAATTAAAATTACAAAGTATATAAAATTTTTATACATATGAATTTTTTAGGATTTTTCCCATACCTTCAGATAAAAAAATTAATTTTAATGAGAAAAGTAAATATTTTAGAAAAAAAATCAAATTTTTAAACTTTAAGTAAATAAATGAAAAATTATATTCATTTTTAAAAATATGAAAAAATTCTTAAAAAATATTCCAACATATGTAGAATGCAGTGCTATAAAGGAAATTTTGGGGTCGCAATGGGATCCATTAGTAAATGAATTTTTTTACTAAACAAAATTGAAATTTTTCCCAAAAACTTGATAATATCACTTTATTAATTAATCTAATTACTTAATATTACACAATACATTTATTTAACTAATTGCTCAATATATAATATACTTTTAACATATAATTGTGAAACGAAAAAAATTCTGGAGTTTTGCAAGCGTTTTTATATTTTTTAAATTATTTATTATTATTTCTTCTTTTCTTTTGGAAAGAAGTTCCGTGGATACAAAAATTTCCTTGTACATTTCGTCAGCAAGTTGTGAACAATTTCGTCGATGTCTTATAAAAAATATCATCGACGAAATTGTTTACAACTTACCGAAGATGGTTTGAAGCAAACCGAAACATACAAGGAAATTCTTGTATCGACATAGTAGTACAATATACATGTATATTGTGAATTAGTTAAAATTCTTGATATAATTGCGCAATGACCAATTTCCGCGCTGTATTGACGCTCTCATTACCCATATATTCTTTCATTATTGTATTTGTAAGTTTAGTTTTATATATAAGTTAATTCAGGAAATAACATTTTTGAAAATTTATGATATTAAATAAATATTGAATCAATGTTCTTGAATTAATTTATGTCTGCAAGACAAAAAGCAATTACTTTGAAAGTATGAACATTTTTATCACGTCTTTTTAACATTTTGTTATGCTATGATTCAACGTTTCTGGAGAGAGAGAGGGTAGAGGAGAGGGGGGAGGAGGGGAGGGAGAGAGAGACAGACACGAATCGATATTAGTAGTTACAATAGTGCAACACATTTTGAAACGATCTTTGATCTGATTCAGGATAGTTTTTAGGTTAGCATAATTATTGATATGTACATATATGTATGAGCGCGAGCGTAGCATAGCTGGCAGCGTATGAGACTGCTATGCCAGAGATCCCGGGTTCGACCCCAGGCAGAATCGAAAAATTTTTGGTACGCTCATAGCTCCTCTCGGCAGACAATGGCAAACTACCGAGAGTATCCTTGCCACTTCTATAAACAAAATCGTCGTTCGGAATCGATGTTAAACTGTAGCTTCCTTATGGCTGTGTACAATCAGCGCGCGCATCACAGGCATGCTAGAAGTCGTCACTACATCCTTTCGGAGGATTATGGATGGAGAATATATGTATATAATGTACCTTAATCAATGATTACGTACATATATGTATGTACATATGTGTATATGTACGTAAATGGTATATATATGACAAAAGCTCAGTAGCACGCGCGAAGTGTGCGCTTGATTTTTTCTAGTGTATACAAATTTTATATATTTCGTAATTTTAACTACACATGATAAGAGAACTCCTCCACACAAAAAGAGAACTCCTTTAAACGATTATCTCCAATATATATATATATATCTTGGGTGAAAGATATATAATACTTATTTTTTTAAATCTTAAACATCATACAATGTGTCCACTTACATGTTTTCATAATTATTTTGAAGATCCCAAACAGTTTATTTTTAGGTGGATTCCTTTCATGTGTGAAAAATGCTCTGTATATTATATGTATATTGTTCAAAGCGAACCCAGTCTTAGTTACAAACCAAGCATAATTTTTTATAAAATAATAAATTTAATATTAAGTAATAGTTTAAAATTTTGTCTCATTTCTCAAAAAGAGAGTACAATAAATGGAAAATAAAAATACACTGTTTTTGGACCTCAAATAGATTACATGTTACTTTCAAGTGTCGTCTACAGTACACCGTAGACTGCAGATATATCGAGAGTAAGCTGGTTTTCCGGCCCAGTAAAAAATGGTTGATAGATCAACGTCAAATCGATGTTGATTCAGCGTCGCTCGATATCAAATTGTTGATGTTAATTACACGTCGATCGACGTTAATTCAATATTGATCGATTAATCACTTGTAGCTGGAGATGTAATACGGCATATAGTAAGTCCATAAGCGAAATAGTTGAAATCTATTAGTCTATATCCCCAGCTACAAGTGATTGATCAATCAATATCGAATTAACGTCGATCGACATTGAGTTAACATCGATTTAACGTTGAGCGACATTGAATCAGCATCCATTTGACGTTGTGTCTACAGCCTT